CCCCAAAACCCCAAAACCCCAAAACCCCAAAACCCCAAAACCCCGTAAAATTAAATTTGAATAGAATAAATATCAATCTTGGGGATAGCTAGGATTAGTATGGTCTTTGGCTCCTCAAGGTCTCTAGCATTTGCTGGTTTTTGGCATTTTCATGATCAACCTTTTTGTTGTAACCAAGCTCAGATAATTTCATGGCTCTTTGCTCAAACATGGTGTCTCGGTATTCCTTTCTTCTTTCTCTTTCCTTTACTCCAATCTGCTTTAATATGTCAGACTGATGTTGATTCTTATTCATCTTCTGTGAAAGGACCTTGGTCTCATGCTCTCTGTTCTGCTCGTCAAGGGCTCTATCAAGCTCATCTTTCTCTCTAATAATGTTATTCTTATCTTCATTTCTGAACATTTTCTTATTCTCAATATTCTGGGCTCTACTTTGGTATACTTCTCTGAGTAACTGAATTCTTGCTTCATCTTCTTTTCTCCATTTGTCTTCCTGAATTTTCCGTTGTCTTTCTTCTTCTATTCTAGTCAGTTCTTCGATTAGTTGTTCCTCCCTTACAGCATCATCAGATTGCTGCTTGTAGTGGTTCTGAAGCTCTTTTGCTTCCTGCCTTCTCTCTTCCTTCTCTTGTTTCTCGAGCTCTTCCATGGCTCTTTCTCTGTCAAGAGCCTGTTGGAGGAGGAACTTGTCTCTTTCCTTCTCCTTCTCTTCTTCCAGATTCTTGATTTCCTTCTCCATCTGATTATGTCTGATGAGTTCGAGATTACGTTCTTTATTGATGAGATTTCTTTGTCTCTCCATTTCTTCCTCCTTTTTGTTCTCAAGTTTCCAGATTTCATTGAATTTTTGCTTCTCAGCTTCTTCTTTCATCTTCTCAATATTTTGAGTCTCAGATTTTGTCTTGTTTTGCCAAGAGATTATGTCCATGGTTTCCTTGACACGTTCTTGTTTTTCCTTGGCTTCACGCTTTTCCCTCTCAATTTTCTTTTTCATGTCAACTTCAGACATTTTAGCGAAGAGCATTTCCTCGAAGATTTCTTGGTCACGTTTTCTCTTCTTGTCTCTAAGCTGCTGTTCTCTTTCTAGGGCACATTGTTGGGCATAGAATTTAGAGTCGGATTGTCTGATCTCGTCAGTATTTTCCTTCATACGTCTCTCTTCAGCCTGCTCGACGATCTGCTTCTTTTCCTCTTGCCTCTGCTTTTTGAGTAAAAATAATTTCTTAGCCATTTGTTGTCTGACTTGTTCTGGAGTTTCTAGGTTATCGTTGAATTCTTTTTGGTACATGGCTTCTTCCTGTCTCAGTTTTGCTGCAAGTCTCTTTCTCCTTTCTTCGAGATTTTTCTCTTTTTGCTTTTTCATCTGGGAGACTCTGTCTTTGACGACTCTCTTAAATACCATGTTATCGGTTTTTTGTTCCCATTCAGCCGTTCTTCTCAGGTTGGCATCGCTTCTGAGGGCGCTATTGAGGGTCGAGAGGCGGGATTCCTCCTCCCTTCTGGCATAAATTGCCCTATCCGCCCTTAGTTTTGAAGAGGCTATCATTTCTTTGAAATAAAATATTTAAATATTATAAAATTATTCGATTTCAATTAGGTATTTAGTTAGGGGTTTTGGGGTTTTGGGGTTTTGGGGTTTTGGGGTTTTGGGG